TGGGACATGGCACCTTGGATTGGGGGCGCAGAGGAACCAGGCACCAGCACCAGCTCCCTGCTCAACCACCCTAAAACCACTCAGCAAACACTAACAGGGTGAAAGGCTGGACCCATGTGGCTCACCCATCACTTCCAAGGCTGCAGGTAGAAGCAGGGATGGAGACCAGCCTCTGCTCTCCCAGAAATGTCATTTTCATTTCAACAACAAAAGCCATTTGCAGCGTTGAAACCCCTGAGTTCTCACCACGGACTCTCCTCGGCAGCAGGGACTGCCAAAGTAGTAGGAACCAAATTGTTGTCAGCTTAAGGACAGCCATCTGCTCAGCCTCTTCCCAGCTGCCATCCTCCAAATCAAAGAGTGGGTAACAGTCACTTATGTTTCTCACCAAGCTCAAGATGAAAAAAAAAATCTAGGAAGAAAAAAAAAACCAACCCCAACAACAACAACAAAAACCCAACAGAAAAAAAAACACAAAACACCCAAACAAAACAAAACACAAGAAAAAAACCCAAACCAAAGAGCAAAAACCAAACGAACCAGGAAAGCAGCACGGCAGGGATCTAACTGGGAACAGAGATGAAAGTAGGAGAAAAAGAAACTTCTTCTTTTTTTTTTCTTCTTTCTTTCTTTTAAAGCAATGTTTTATAAAGAGCCCTATTGACATCTGCTTTGTAAATGCTCTGTCATTATTTATAACCTCAAGAGCACGGAATTGTCTCTGTAGTTACAACCATCCTACTCCCATATTTTGGCTTTGTTAGCAAAGAGCCAGCAGCATTTTTACTGGTGCTCTGGGAATAAAGATCTAACATTTCATACACAGTTTATTTAAAAGTGGACTAATTTAACATTCTTGATGGTTCCTTTTAGCACAACTGTTGCTAATTACCAGCTCCGGAATGATTTGTTAATCTGGGAGCAGCAGTGGTTCCACAGCAGCATAAATACACCAAGACAAAAAGGAAGGGAGGGAAAAGAGGGAAAAAAGATAAGAGGGACATTGGAGAGGGTCAAGTTTGAGTGAACCAAGGGAAATTAAGTGACAGGTGGAGCCGGGAACACAGAAGGAACATGGAGCTGTGGAGGGGATAATCCTGCTCCTTGAGATGCAGCAAAGAAAACCCCAACAACCAGTGGCAATTTTAAAAGCTGTGCAAGTGCTGGTTTTGGTGGCACAGACAGGAAGCTGGCTTGGAAGATGAGCTGTGCTCCTCAGGACAGGCATCAGCATCCCCTTCCTCCCCACTGCCCGTGGCAGGGTGGGCTGTGCTGGAGCAAGGCTGGACAGACAGACAGACAGAGGACACTGACTCCCAGGACACAACCTCAGCTCCTCTAATTGGTTCCAGGGCACCGTGAGTGGAGGGACACAAACAAAAGTGAAGCAAACACGATCATAAAACATGCCAAGGGGGCAAGAGGACTGAAGCTGGAGTCCTCAGAGGAGCCCTTGAAATGCTGGAGCTGTTGTTTGGAAGTGACAGGGTCTGACCAACAGCTCTGCACTATTGCACACAATTTTTCTTGAGGTTTTCCAGCAAGCAACAAAGGGGCACTGAAGTGGCCTCAGTGCTCCTGGTCACTCCACATCCCATTCCTGTGGCTTCATGCCCTGGGCACAGCCACAGCTGTCACCCTCCACCAGAGGACCAGCTCCAACGTGACTCAAAACCACCTTTTTCACACCAGAAGACTTGGAAGCAAAATTCCTCAAAGCAAAAAGACTTTTAGGAAAGGAACAGTGATATCCTTGAGATTTATAAATCCTGGAAGCCATCCCATTGTTGGTACTAAGATGAGCAGGACTCTAACAGCCATGGAAGGAGATGGAGCAGCCTCCCTCCAGCCACAGCTTCCACCCTTGCATCCCTTTGCTCTTCCACTGCATGTGTGAAAGGACTTGAAAGTTCATAAAATTAATTCCAGACAAATATTAGCGAGGCCTCAAGTGGAAAACATATCTCCTTCCTTCTGGGAATTTATAGTTCATCCACTTTTATCTTCTGGAGGCTCTTTGGAGATCAAAGATTTGATCAACTTTCCCCGTGCAAAACTCGTGAAGAAAACGGTGTTACCCTGACTTGGTTTTATTGATGATTTTTTTTGGTAATGATTCATTGCCCTCTCTAAAAAAGTAAGATTCCTTCATGTAGGTCTAAAATAAACAGCACAAGTTACACAAGAAAGCTGCTCTGTTTATTTATGGATTTTATGGTCGTTAGAAGGTCAATCCCAACCCTGGCAGTTTCCACTTGTTAAATAGCGCTCTACCTAATAAAACTGAGATGGCCAAACACAAAGTAACTGCCTCCTGCCAACCTAACCCCTCTTGCCAAGGCCACTGGGAAAATGACCTGGTGCTCTGGCAATTTTCCCTATCACCTTATGGGGTCAAACCCCCCTAATTTACAAAAAAACCCTCACGCATCATTAGTGGAAGCGGGTGATGTTGCTGGAGTGACTCCAGTCTGATGCATCCAGGGAATGCAAAGGAAATAATAGAATCATGAATGGTTGGGATTGGAAGGGACCTTAAATGATCATCCAGTCCCAACCCCCCTGCATGGGCAGGGACACCTCCCACCAGCCCAGGCTGCTCCAAGCCCCATCCAACCTGCCCTTCAACACTGTCAGGGATGGGGCAGCCACAGCTTCCCTGGGCAACCTGGGCCAGGCTCTCACCACCCTCACACCAAAGAATTCCCTCCTCATGTCCAACCTCAATCTCCCTCTTCCAGTTTTAATCCATCCCCCCTTGTCCTCTCCCTCCCTGCCCTTGTCCCAAGCCCCTCCCCAGCTTTCCTGGAGCCCCTTCAGGCACTGGAAGCTGCTCTAAGGTCTCCCTGGAGCCTTCTCTTCTCCAGGCTGAACACCCCAACTCTCCCAGCCTGGCTCCAGAGCAGAGCTGCTCCAGCCCCCTGAAATTTGGGAAAGGAGTGCAAATTACACAACATGTTTCCACCAGGGCAGGAGGAAGACAAGGAACCTTCCTGTTATCCCACTGACTTCCAGCAACCCTTTCTCCCTCTGCAGCAGTTCCCTGCACATCTGGCAGCAGCACCTGGGCAGCCTCACGGGGGATGCTGATCCCTCCCCACATCTGCCTGCTCACCTACAGTGGAAACTTTCTGCTTCACCCAAGTGACTTGTGAAGACACCGGGATGGATTTCAAGGAGTCGGTGCAGAAGGACTTGGATCCTGCCTGAGCCATCTGCACATCCATCCTGGCCCTCAGGAGGACAGACCCCGTTTCCCTGGAATCACTCAGGAAGTCTGTACCAAATGCATCATATTTGTCAGCGTTCCTGGGGGGAGGAATCTGGGGAGCTTCACAAAGCTCCTTCTTGGAGCAGAGCCACAAGGAAACGCTTTTCCACTGTGAAACTGAGCAGGTTTCAGGGGAGATGGGAGTTAGGGAGCTGGAGAGGAAAACCACTGAGAGCCAAGAGGTTTGTAGGGCAGTCAGGACTTGACGGAGCGTAGCAGGAATCAAGCCACACACACAGAGCACTGCTCCATTCTTTCTTTCCCTGCTTTCCCTGGCACCCAGACCCCTTCTCCACTCCATACCAGAACAGCCTCATGCTTTGCTGCAGTAGGAACAGGGAGCTCTTCCAGGAGCTCCACACGGGAGGGAGTCCTCACAGCTCTGTGTAGTTGGCCAGTCATGGAAAGATGGCATTGGAAATAAAACTCCTCATCCTGAAATTAGGCAGGATTCAAGCTGGGAGAAGGGACTGAATGTCAAGGTTTTATTAAATGATTTTGGTAAATGATTTTATTACTTAAGTTCTCAACAAATGCTGAGAGTGTTTTTGGTGCAACAAAGATGTCCCAGTACTTGTCCTAAGCTGTGCTCTGCCTAGGAGCTGCCCTACCTAAGCACACTGTTCTTAGAAGAACAATAAAGGTGACATGACACGACCTCAAGCATGAAATACAATTTTGGCAGGGTTCATTCTCCATTTTAGAGCACCCTTCCAACACCCAGGGGCTCCAGAGGATACCTGCCACGTGAAGAGCCAGCTGGCCAGCTCAACACCTTCAGAACAGCCTCTGTTTCTCAGAACACCTCAAATCCAAGATTAAAATGCTTAAAAAAAACCCTTCTATCAGACCACAGCAAATTGCAATACCCAGCACTGGCATAAGGCCCACCTAGAAGGGACCATGGCATGGCCCATCCTATCATGCAGCAGCTGGTGAGACTGTCCACAGAGAGCAGGTGTGTTGCTGGACACCAAGTCCAACACCAACCAGAAGAAACAAAGGGACCAGAGACAAGAGAAGGGCTTGGACATCCAAGCAGGACAGGAGGAGGGAAGCAGCACCTGAGGCCTATGGGGACAGATGGCACTGTCACTCTAGGAGGGTCTTAAGCCACCCCCCAGCCACGAGCCCATCGAGGGAGCCCAACGCCCCTGGGGTTTGTGTGGCATGTCCTCGCTTTTATACTCACCAAAATCACAGATAAAAGTACTTTGGCATTTTGGTGCCTTTCTGCTCTTTCAACCCGAGCTCTGTGCCACTGTGACTTCCCTTCACACGGGCTGTGAGCCCACCTGAGACCCTCTGTTGCACTGCAAACCCCCTTGGAGCAGCCACCGTTCTGTGACGCAGACACGAAGGGCTTTGTTAGGGCAGTTACAAGCAGCTACTTGATCATTTTAAGCCAAGACAAATCTAGAGAACAACAAATATAGATAAAACATAAGCACAAATTACAGCCTTAAATGAGCACAGAGCCTCACTCTTAGGGAAGAAGAGTCGAGGAGATGATTTGTACCAAACCACTAGACCTACACTGCAGAAATCAGAGCTACAGGGACTCCTCACCGGGAAGGTGATCGAAACCAGACAGAAACTATTAAAAAGATGCCAATTTTTCAACCTCACCCCCATAGAGAATTCTGTACGTAACCCCAAAACAACCCCCAGGTCAGTCTCCTGCTTGTCTGTGCCAAGCACAGGGAGCAGGGAAGGGAGCAGGACTCACCCTCTGGCCCCTCGCTGCCTTTACTCCTTTTATTTCGCCGGACGCGTCTCCCTTCTTCTCCCACGTGCAGCTTTTCTTCAGTGTGAAAGAAGTTCAGCAAGGCCAGCTGGAAGAAGAAGGACAAGTTTAAGGATCTTTGGCAAGGATGGCTTAGCTGAGTGGAGAGAGGAGAGCTTGAACCCAAACCTCTTCCCATCAGGGGTAGCTCGGCTGAGCCAAGGGAGAAATGAGGTGGCTGCTCATGGATGCTCAGCTGATCTCAAGGAGCTGTGTCCCCTTGGAAGCTCTCTAGGACTTGGGAAAAATAAACCTGAAGGGTTTTGGCAGGGAGGAGCATCACCCCAGGGCACGGGGGCTGCAGGCACAGGGACACAGGCAGTGCCAGGGGAGAGCTAGAGCTGGAAATTATCAACCCCCCCAAACACTGATGCCATCATTCCTAATTATCCTCTGCAAAACTTGCTCAATCCTGGAGCTCTTTCACCAGTATTACTCACTGCCAGTAAGTTTTTCCTCTCTCAAGCTCTCTTCTGCAAGCCTCATTAGCTACTGAGATTCAAAGGTCTTCAGGGACCTTTAAATCTAATTCAGTATACCACATAAATTAACACTTTAAACCTAGAGCAAGTACATCTTTATAACATGATTTCTGCCAAGAGGCAAAAATTTTATGTAGCAACCTCTTATTCATGAAAAAAAACCCCAACCAACAGTTGCTGCATTAAAACCTCTTTGACAGTTATTAAATCAGCATCCCTACCCAGAAACTGGAATTTTGCTTTAGAAACTTCACCAGTCTTCCCAGCTACCCCAGGGCATGGTTGGTCATCACCAGTGGCATTTTCCCCAGCTACGTCCACTTCCTAAAAGAAGGAATTTCACAGAAGGATAATTAGAGGCCAAACACCTCGTTCTGTGAGTTATCACACCCAACTCCAGTCTCCACCCAGGGCTGCTCTGACCAGGGTTTTCTTTAGGCTGGAGAAACCCCCTGGCAGTTATTTAAGCCATAAACACACACACAAGCCAAACAAGACAAGGACAAAGAGGCTACAAAAAAAAAAGCTGCACCCAAGGCTTATCGAGTGCCTCATTGTTTCTGAGAACAAAACCTGGGGCATCAAAAGCACCTTTGAAATAGCAGAGAGGACTAAACTCTTTCCATGAATTGCCAATTAAAAGAATGGCTCCTTAAGCTACTGGCCATAAAAGCCCCCATCAAGTCATCCTCACTAAAGGACTCTGTGCTTTTGCCATGCCCTGGGGCATCCCCTCTCCCACCCCCAAACCCCTATTGCTGAGTTACTTCCCACACACACACTCTCCCCCCAGCCTCAGAGCACCCCATTAAAATCCTGCGGGATTTTACATTTGCATCTTGTTTTCCTCCCACAAATCCCAGTGCAGGCTCTTGAACCGGATTTGGGAAACCAAAAGGGTTTCCCAAAACAAAAACCCTGAAGGTTTTCCCAAAGTCCCAAGCTGTTCCTTGGGTTGTTGTGTTGTGTTTTTTTGTATTTATTTTTTTTTTAAAAACCACTCACTTAAATCAAGTCGAAACGCTGTAAAAAACCAATTGAAGAAACAAATTACATTAAGAATTCAGGTTAAGACTTGGAAGGAACTCATCAGCATTGCTTCTGAATGCTGCTAGGGTTTGGCTCTCTTTCTTTGAGCTTCACAAATCACAGCTCAAGAGAAGCACTGAGAAGGAAGTGGTGGGGAACCAGCCCATGAAGATGCCCAGCTCCCCATCCCACACCCCCCTCCAGCCACACGACACACCAGCTGCTCCCAGGGCTGAGGCTCAACCCCACATTTTCCATCTCGAGAAGATTTTGCAATGGCAAAACCCCCTCCCTGTGCTCCCAACAAGCAGGTTTCCTTCCCCTGCTGTTACAGATTCAGTTTTTAGACAACGTTTTGCAAAGCTGCAGCACAAGGTGGAGCTGGGAACGTGCTGCCTCCACCCCCACATCTGGGCACCAAGGCAGAGGTTAGGGATGAATCCAGGGATTTCTCCCCTGCCAGCCATGCAGCAAAGAAACACAACTACTGGTGGGCTTGGAATAATTCAGAGAGGAGTTTTACCTACAAAAAAATCATAAGGATTTGGAAAGGATGTGGTGAGTGATGGTTTTGGGGAAACCTTCAGAATTTCTGAAGAGACTTTAAAGCTTTTCCCAATCTGAACGAAACCGTTTCAGTTTAGTCTCAGAAGGGAAAATACAAGAGATGGACACAATATGATTATTTTCCCAGACAAAAATAACCCTTTTTTGCCCCAAACCTGAGTGACAGGGCTCTAAGCAGGCTTTGCTCAGCACTGACAGCAATGGGAATGGTCTTTAAGGCCCCTTCCAACCCAAACCAGTCTATGATTCTATGATAGAGGAGCTGGTCCCAGGGACCAACCCAAACCATTCTATGATTCTAGGACAGAGGAGCTGGTCCCAGGGACTACATCCACAGCCCTTTTAATTATGGAGCAGCAGCATTTAACTGATGGGGACCAGCATTCAATGAGGTTCCACCACAGGATGGAGGGACCTGCTCAGGACCCCTCTTCCCAGCTCAGGGGTCAGGGTAGAGGATGGCTCTGGTGCTTGCTGTGTTCAGCCCCACTCAGCCCCCAGTTTCTCCCCCCCCCGATGACAGCCAAGCTTCTCTGTGGTGACTCAAGGGCTCTGTTGTTCCAGAGGCTGCAGCTGCAGGAGGTCAGGGACACTTGGCCACTGGGTCATCCCATGAAGGGCCACCCTGTCTGGCTGGGGACAGCTGTGCTGGTCAGAAGAGTCAGTGATGCTTTTTTCCATTCCCTGAGATAGGATGAATACACTCACTCACAGCTCTTGGGCTCCACAGGGGTTGGTCTGGACACAAGGGTGCACGTTGTTGTGCCTGAAATGAAACTCGTTGGTATTTGGGGTGGCTGCAAGGAGGGAGAGGATTGTGCAGGGCAGAGTGAGGAGATGTTTGCCACCCATCCAGCAAAATGCCATGCAGCCACAGAAGCAAAAGGAGAAATAAACTGCAGAGAACTGCTGCTGGCTGGGCACCAGAGCTGCCTGAGGGCACAAAGGTGGCTGAAGGCTCCTGCAGGATCCCTCCCTCCATGAAGGCAGAGCCACCAGCCAGGCCAGGGTCACATTCCACCCATGGTGGCCATTCCCGTTGTAAAAACACCCAGAAACATTTCTTTTGCATCCAAAGAAGAGCTCACTTTTTCCTCTGTACAGCCAAGCAACAGCAAAGTTTGGAACAACCCCCCCTCTCCCTCCTCCCCCTCCAAGCTGAAGCCCTCAAATCAACCTTAATTTTAGAAACACCACGTAAATCCATTAGGCCTCCATCTTTTGAATCAAGAAAATCACTATAGGATGTGAAAAGGTCAAAAAGCCAAGAAAAGGAGAAATCCCAGGGGGAATGAGACCTCGAAATAACCTGGGAAACAATAGCAAGGCCTCGCTGGGCCGGAACGGAGCTGCTCTACCTTGGTTTCTCTCAGCAAAATAAACAAAACAAAGCCCCCCCCCTCCTCAGCTCTGACTTCCTCAGCAGCCTCATGCAGAAACTGACCTAGGAAGGTGGAATGAAGCTGCTTTGGGATGTCAGGGAGGCACAGTGGGAAGCCCCAAAACACCACGGCCTGTGGTCACTGGGCTGGTTTCATAGAACGGTGAAGGTTGGAAGGGACCTTCAAGATCATCAGGTTCCAATCTCCATGCCATGAATAAGTGCCCCTCCCACCAGCCCAGGCTGCTCCAAGCCCCATCCAACCTGCCCTTCAACACTGCCAGGGATGGGGCAGCCACAGCTTCCCTTGGCAACCCGGGCCCGGC